CAGGAACGCAAATAAATCATCTTATCTTTGATCCCCTTGAAAATATTTAGTTTAATAGACATTCCTTATTATATTTTGAAGCGAATTTCGGTTTCAATTTTGGTCTAACCAAAACATGTTTACACCCAGACCTCCCGAGATTGGTTTCCAAAACTCATCTTTGCGACCAATATTTGCTATGTCAGCATAGCACTGGAGACTTGCTCGTAAATATTATGCCAGCACATGAATAAGATTCGCCCATCTTTATTAAACATTTTCTATTTGTCTACGACAAAAATAAAATTACTTTGATACTCATTTTGAGTCACCTCCATCTCCCAACCTCCTAATGAGCTTTCCACCGTTAAAGGCACGTAAAGAGTAAAATATTTAAAATGGGAAAACATCAAAATCCATCTTATTAGCATAATCGAATGTAACTTGACAATCAATGAGGAAAAAGATAAAGAAACATACAATTCAGAAAGGAAAAAGCACTCATTGTATCGACGCATAATCTTGTTAACGACACATTTGGAAAATGAGACGTTACCCTATAAACTGACGATGCTTTTTTCTAAACGGATACAGAATAAACAAGAGAAATGGTCCCCTAAATGAAGACAAAGGGATTCAACGCGAATTGTATAAAAGCAAGCTTCTAAAAAGTGACAAAAATGATATTTGACAAAGCAACCAGGATTTGTGGCGCGACTTTTTTCTATGAAACATTTTTTCTGTTTGTTTAGAAAGAAATGAAATGTGGACTAGGTTATGAAGTTCTAATAATGCTCTCTACTATGTGGTAACGTGAATATTAGGACATTTTATATGGGAGCAAAAGGGTCGAGACTACAGACTCACAAGAGAACGTTATTTATAAGAACAGAAATCTTTTTTGGCGTTACCTAGGTACATTAAAATGTAGTAGCAAAATGTCTACCTATTTTTACTTGATAAAGATTCAGCCCAACAATAAGTTAGACTTAGACTTAATTAATCTCGGAGGAATTTATTTTCAAAACACGACGCGAACATTTAATTATCTGAAGAAATGTTGGAAGTCTCGTCGGTACCATGTTGAAACTACTTCATTACACTCAGTAGTAAAGTTGGTAAATTTTATGTGCCCTAGATATGAACTGGGGAAGTTGACCCACTGAAGTTATTTAACTACTTAAACGCAGTGAAAACATCGTGGGAACCGCATTTCCATATCAATCCAGCGACGTTTGTCGACGCGACCGCTGCGCGACTAGCCCAAAAGCTAAATGACTGTAAGAATCCATCCCAGTTTCAATTTATCACCGAGAGATGGCGTTGAATGTATGAATGAATTGAAAGTTAGATTACACAATTTAAATTCCCCCTTCATGCAAAATAGGGATGGAAAGATGAGGTCTGGGGGGTGTAGAATACATTATACTAGAGAAAGCTGGAGGGGAGGTTGAAATATTTACCTCGCGGGAGTTTGGAAGTGTGTGCGTCGAAGCGGAGCGAAATCTTAATGGATTATGGTATGATTGGACTACTCGGCTTACCTGCGGATATTTTGCAAGTCTTTTTTCCACAATCCGACTGTAGATTGGTTTCTATAGAGGTATTAAACGTATTCCGACGCAACGGGACCTTTTATTTCGTCCCTTTGAATCGGTGGGAGCAATTAGGAAAAATAACAATTTAATTTTTTTCAGGCGATGTCTGTAGCTAATCCAATTTGGTTCGTTTTTTCATCTGATCGGCTTGGCGGTGAATCGATTAGCGAGATGAATGTATCGAATTTCGAAAGGGTTGTTTATGTTTTACTATTTGGATACGTAGGTTTTTTCATATGAACGTTATCTGTTTGCTTATTATGAATTGTTGCTCACTTTTTGGTTATTGAAATGGCTTCTTATATCGGATTGACTGCCTCGTTGATCACGTGGTCGCAAGTGCGACTGCCGGGCAAGAGTTCGATTCCCGGGTCAGGCAAAATATTAATGGTTTTTTTTTATTCTTAGTAGTAGCACGGAGTCTAGAATTGTGCCCGGTATATTACAATAGGCTCACTCCCTATTACATGGGATATATAACATAAAGAGTGAAAAGTGGGTGTTACATTGTACAGTGGCATTAAGTGCCGCTATGTGCATCTCTGGTTACCTCTTCAGGGATAAAAAGGCGTGATCCTATGTTATGTTCTCATATAGGATGTGAGTAGAGGTCTGTTCACATTTTTATATGAAACTAGCGTAAATAATTTTCGTGATCATTTTAACTACCTCTGATGCCTTTAATGACTTGGTCGGGCAGTCTCAAGCTTGATTGGTGAGCAAAGGCTCGGATTCAATTCTCGGGTCGATTAAAATATAATTGAGACTTTCGATTTACATGATGCGTCAAAAATTATGCCCTATTTAGGCAATATGTAGATATTATTATATAACAATTATAACACAACAGATGCTGCTAATGATGTGTATGTACTGCGACCTACCCTAGTGAATTAAAGTCGTAATGATAACGTAACTTAACCAAGTTACAAACTAGAAATGTGTTGTTTTAATAACAGATTGTTGAACTAAGTTGTTATTGTTTTGTCAAGTTTTGGGGTAAGCAGCGTTATAGTTAGGTAGGTCAAAGCAAACTGTGTTAAAGTTTGTTTACAATTACTTGTACCTATCCATTCGAAATAAGTAAGGATTAAATTATATTAACATTAATTATTTGTATAGTGGTTGTGTAGTGAAAAGTGGATGTTACATTGTACAGTGGCATTAAGTGCCTTAATGTGCTCCTCTACCTACCCCTTCTGGGATAAAAAGGAGTGATGTTATCTTATGTTATGTTAAGTTATCCTACTAATATTACAAATGATCCAAAGTTTTTTAGAGAATTACAGATATCCGTCACATGTTCACATAAAAACTATAAAAAAAGTACCATCACGCCTTTTATCCCCGAAGAGGTATACAGAGGTGTACATTACGGCATTTATAGCCACTGTACAATACAACACCCACTTTTCAATATTTATGTTATGAGTCCCATGTAATAGGGGGTGAGCCTATTGCCATATACCGGACACAATTCCAGACTCCGTCCTACTATTGAAGTTTTTTGAAAAAGCCCATTAGTACTTTTCCCGGCCTGGGAATCGAACCCGAGACCCCTTACCGCAATTGCGACCACTAGGCCAACGAGGCAGTTCCGAAATTAAAACTGCTAATCAATTAAATTCACGAGAATTTTAGCGACTCTAGAAATCTGCAAATCCTATTAGACTGTTCTTGTTAATTATGTTACTCATATGAGGTAATGAGGATAGGTAGGAGGATACAGTAAACAGTTGTTCGAAGTGAAAAAATCTAGGTTTTTACTGTAGTGGGAATTTCTTAGTATGTTGATCAACGATTACTCATATTCTTTTCTTTGTTATTTTTAATTTAATTTGCACTTGTGTGCGTATGAGTAAGGATATGAGTAACTTTATAGTGTTTGCACTTACTAACTGTTAATGAAAAAAACCCAACATGTTTGGATTATAATGACTGTCAAAACCCCGAAATTTATTTATTTACACATAACATACAAATATTAAAATAACAATAATAATCAAAATATATAAACAAGAAATACCCATATGAACTATAGAATAGGTATATAATAAGTTACTTCTACTACTTTTACTATAGCAAATCCTATGCATGTGTAAATTCTCCTAAAGAAAAGCGGTTATTTTATTGGCTACGTTCACAGTCATGCGGTTATAACAGTGACTGTTGAATAATCAGTAACGGTTTGAATACCGGGGTTAGAAGTGAGTTCTTCGATACTCAAAATTTTAGAGAAATGGCTTACAGAATTGTGTCAATATTTTTACATTTTCTTGGCTACTTAGGTTCTGAACGTGATACTTGCTCGCTTTGCAGGGGACTGGCAAAGATTCAGTGACAGATGATTATACATATACAGATTTAAGAAACACAGTCTCATTGGGATTTCAAAGGCGTGATGTTATGTATGTCAATCACATTTGAATGATTTTTTGTTTAAGGGGGGAAAATCATCGAATGACTGCTCCCGCCTGGGTGTGGCCGGAGGGAGTGTCAGACTCTTACTGACTAAAAACCACCCCGTTCCTTCTCCTGCACGTCGAGCCGGAGCCCCGGTAACCCGTTAGGTTCTCCGCGACACGTTTGAATGAGTAAGGACCATACTCATTACTCAATGTTTGTACTACCTAACTGTTAATTCTAAAAACTGGAGAAATCGCAATGTTTGTATTACGGTGTTTTTACGAACTACATACTTTCTTGTACTGAACAACATATACCACATATTTTGAACGTGTTTTTAAAATATTTTTCCTGTTATATCGTTCGTACCTATACTACATATAGGTGTTATACCTATTATGGTATGAACATAATTATTTCTTAAGTATCATCTAACCTTACTAATTGAATTAATAAGTCTTTGTATCTGTTTAAAAACGTTGCCCCACACTCTGATTTTCTCCTGTGTCGTGGGTGTGTTTACCAACATACAAGATCACATACTCATGACAGCATGACACCCTGACCTGGAACAACAATTTGTGGATCGCACAAAGAGTTGCTCCGGGCGGGAATTGAACCCGCTACATGTTCCGCGACAGCCATCGCACCAACCGTGCTGTCAAATATTAAGTACCAAGATATCAGGATTTCTATCAGAGATCTATAAAACATATTTTAAAATGTAAAATATTAAATGTGCCGTTGTTGGCTAACTTGTCGCTAGTACGACTACTGGGCAAGGGGTCTCGGGTTCGATTCCTAGGTCGGGCAAAGCATTACTGGGTTTTTTAAAAAAATCTCAGTATTAGCAAAGCGTCTAGAAATGTACCTTATAAGGCAATAGGCTCACCCACTATTACATGGGCCATAGTGAATAGTGGGTGTTACATTGTACAGTGGCATTAAGTGCCGTAATGTGCATCTCTGTCATAAAAGCCGTGATGATATGTAAATAATAAATAAAAAAGGACTCACCTGAACTCCTCCCGTGCACATTATCAACAACCAGAAACATTAATAATAATAACGTGATAGTTTTAAACCTACTAAAGCACCAGGTTCCCATGTCAAACCTTTTATTCACTACACTAAAAACTTTACTATTATTGTCCAAACTACTACTGCTATCTCTTCTCCATCTTCTCTTACATCCTCTGTCTTCTAGAAGATATTTTAAGTCTTGTAGACTCTTCTTCTTTGTGGTTATTGGATTTCCAGAAGAATCTGGAATTGGGTCCAGTGTTGGGTGGCTGGACATGGTTGGTTCTGGTTGGGTGGTGTTAGATGATGTGTGGTTGTTTCTGGTCAAATCCCGGGTTCATCTTGGGTGTGCATCTGTAACAAAGAAGAGGATTTGGTTAGATTTTTGTTTAGCTATGGGTAACTAGCTTTTACCCGCCGCTTCGCTCGCGTCACAAAAGGATAAAAAGTAGCCTATGTGACATATACCAATACACACAGCGCCATCTATACCAATACTTTTGTTTTCCCTCGGGAATATTATTTTTTCCGGGATAAAAAGTACCCTATTATTTAATCCAGACTTCTAACTTTATGTCTGCAAAAATTCAAAGCAATCGGTTTAGTAGTAACGGCGTGAAAGCAGAACAAACAAACACACTCACTTTCCAATTTATAATATTAAGTAAGTATTTGGGAGATTAAGCATGTTTCTTAGATGCATCAGGCTTTAAGGCCTAGATATGTTTTATCTTAGTTTCTACAGCAGGTCATGGCTTTAAGAGCAACTCTTTGAGCTTTCTCCGCAGTGTTGGGATTATGGTCTAATAACAATTCTTTTCCTATTTCACTTACATGAAACAATATAATACTCCTAGCACAACAATACAAGCCAATTATAATAAAACACTATGATTTTTTTACACATTTTACCATTTATTATTTAGAATTTTAACATCTAAAATCATACAAGTTATGGTTGAAGTAAGATCCCATAACTAGCAACTACTTACTAAACTAACGAGGCGATATATTTTACGATGGATTCTCAATTACTTTAAGCGTAGTGTTTTACAATGTATGTAGTAATGAAATATTGTAAAGTACTTTTAGACACACTTTTTTTTTTTTTTTAAGGGGGGAAAATCATCGAATGACTGCCCCCGCCTGGGTGAGGCGGGAGGGAGTGTCAGACTCTTACTGACTAAAAACCACCCCGTTCCTTCTCCTGCACGTCGAGCCGGAGCCCCGGTTACCCGTTAGGTTCTCCGCGACTCCGAATCGGCATCGGCCCTATTGGGCCCCATCTGTGGTGGTCTGATGGCTCTTTGAGGCGCACGCGGAACGCGACGCGCCGTACGCTCGGGTACTTTTAGACACACTAGCAATGAAATATATACAACTGCATCAAGGAATAGAGAGTAATTTACACCCAATATTAACATGGTTGCCCAATCCAATGGCTGTTAGCAACCAAATCGTGTAAGAAAAATCGGCTTTTAATACTTTAACTGCCAACTTTAAAACGATGAAAGTCAAACCTCCACTAGCGTCAGGCACCGGTGACTGACATGGCAGTCTAAGGATTAATGTCATTTTCAACATGTTTTTCAAGCGTGAAGAACACAAATTCTCTTGTATAGAGGAGATTCATCCGTGAATTCATTTTAGTGGACAGTTAAGTACTGTTGATCATCAAATCAATCCTAAGCGTTTGTTAACTCTTTAGAGTCTGTCTGTAGTCTCTATAGACACCATGAGTGTGCATCTGGTGATATCTATGGTATCCTAATGAAACAGGGCCCTTACTTTAACCATAAGCTAAAACGATTCTACTTCGGTGCAAGTTTTATGAGTAATCTTTGTTCATTATAGAATGAAATTTTTTACACTTCAATATAGTTGTGCATGCGAACACTATTTGCCGGTGTATACTAGGATTTGAAATATAATTGTAAAAAAAGATTAAAGGTAGGTAACAAAATATTATAAAATGTAAAAACTATATAATTACATTTAGCTTATGATATAAAAGTTAAAGCTTAGCACAAATTATGAACGTCTCATTAAAGTTAACGTTAATCTATTAACAATTTTATCTCAGTTTACCATCATATAATAACTGCATACCTAATTTACGATGCATCCAACATTTTTTTGAAACGATCGTAGTAAAGCCTTATAAAGAAAAATGCAGCAATATTTTGTATACGATGCAGCTATTTAGACATCGCATAAAATAACCTGTGAGATTATGAAACCTAGGCGCGATGATTGGCAATCCATTATATTTTATTGGCCAACACTTTCAAAGGCTCGATACAAAAACATTAACAACTTAATAGGGGTAAAAGCTGCAGGAATCGGCCGTCAATAAATTTCTTACCACAAAATGAAAACAGACCAGAATTATTGGGACGAAAATAAGCGCAAAACGGGAATGCTGCCGACAATCTAATAAGCAATTCATCAAGAGATGTGACAGTATGTGTTATCGCGGGACGTTAGCCGTTGTAGAGGAGGGGGGGAGGTAGGAGGGATGCACTGTAGCCACCTGCGGCCCAGTGACGAAGATAAACTCTGAACAAGATGAACTTGTTTCTTGAAGCCCGATTAAGGGCCCAGTCTAGTCTCCTAATGAGTCAGTTTTATTCCCCTTAAGATTTCGATAACGAAGTGATTTTTTCACCCAAGTCCGTTGAACTCTTGAACACGTTTCGACTAGAAAGGTGTTAAATTGGATAAATTTTGTTATTTCTTAGTTTTTACGGCGCGCTAACTTTACTGGAGTCGGGAGATTTATGCCTGGAATGTTGGTAAACGTTGATTGTCACTATTTTTGCTTCTTTTATTACTTTCTTGGGCCGCATGTTTGATTTATTAACTTTTTGCTCTGCTGGTATTGCGAGTAGTACTGATATGAAGATAAAGTTGTCTAATACTAGCGTATGTAATACTTCATTCGTTCTAAGACAAGTTTTTAGAGCAAAAAAAAAGGAAAATGGAAGAGAGACAAAAACACTAACCATAATTAGACCAATAATAACTTTATTTTATCCAAACACAACAGAAATCGAACACAGCAATGCTATAAAACCCTTTACAGTAGCAAAACCGAAACATTGGAACAAAACACAACTTGCTATCCAAAGCCAACATAATAACAGTTTCAAAACTACCACCAACAAAACAGTTTCCTCAACCAATAGTTAAATAACTATTCTCCATATATCTTTGGGAGTAAAACGTGAAATTCCGAAATGTTTACACAAAACAATGCACAGCCGTGCAATCCGGCTCAGGTGTGCCAATCCGGGGCTCAAAGCTAGCTCATTAATCTTACTTGCCCTTACTAGCCAGTGCCGCGGTAACGGATAATGGAATACTTCGGTTTTGGAACGTATCCGTGAATTTTGGAATGTATAATATTATTGGAATTATTGTGGATGGGTTTTGGTGATTTTGGGACCTTATTGTAAATGGCATTGGGCTTAGGTCCGATTTTTCAATCAACAGTCAATTCTTAACTGATTCGTATGGAAGAATCGTCAAATATTCAAACTTATTCCTCTGATAAAATTTAACAGGCGTTGGAATAGATATCAAATATATCTTAAATAATTGTAGAATAAGGCTATAACCTTAGGCACTCATATCAAAGTAGACAATTCTGTAACTTTCTAAGATTGTTTGTTTAAATAATACTTTCCCAATCATGGAATAAAAACTGAGACTGTTGTGACAAAGAAAGTAGAAATTAAGTGCACAAACTATTCAAGCAGTTATAGTTGCAATATTAGCAGGAAGCAAAACACTATCAAACGCCTATGATAAATCCAAGAAGATACAAAATATATTAGCAATCTTCGATTTGTCGTCCATACATTTAGAATCAGGCTTTTAATATCCATCATAACTCATAATAAGTGATACTGGCCCTAAGCGAAGTTATTACTATTGCTTTCAAAGTTTCAGTATTGAAACCCAACAAATTATCGCAGGGCTATTTAAGATATTGCCGACCCGTTTTGCCTGGAGGCAACGCTGCTCATTCAGTAAATAAAGCAAGCGTGATAATAATGACAATGGATCTTAATCTATGAAGTTGAAGCAATGAAACAACTGGTGTATAATAAATATAAGATAAAAGTGGTACATAATTAGGTATAAGTTTAATAATAGGAATGGGTGCATTTTGAAATTCTTAATGACACCAAACTGATCTACAAACTTAATGAAGACTGCAAAAATATACATTACCCATTATCAAGTTTCAATTTTCCAAAAAAACATAATCCCTAAAAGGATTGGATTAGGGTAAATGTCATCATTACACACCATTAGAGAAAAATAAAAGGGGGATGGCCGATCATGGGATCAATGAGGTAGCAAAGAGAATAATTCTCACGTCGCAACGATATTTCTATGCTTAACGACGGCAGGAAATTCGTTCGGACTTGTCCGACAGCCGGGTCCGTAGATCGTAACTGAAAATTGTTTTAGCCCCCCGGGACATGCTCAAGTTCAGGTGGACTACCACCCTGAGATCTTTCACAGGTGCTATCATGAGTTATTGTCCAATTGTACACGTTTTATTAGAAAAGAGAATTTTATTGGTTTTGCTGTGAGTTTTCTTCAATCTCTCGAGGACATCAAATGATGAATTGCCTTATAATTTTTATATATTTCATTTCAGATCGTAATTTCAGATATTACAACTGGAAGTGTACGCTTTTCTTTTAATTTCCAATTTATATTCGAAATAATACAAAGAACGTGATACAGTACTCCACTCCATCCCATAAAGTCAGTGAAAAATATTTCTTCATAATTCTGTACTCAAGCATCTGGGTTTTACGCTCGTTTGAATTTAAAATCATCACATTTTTTCTTTAACTTTAATTAAATTAAAATACAATGCAAAAATTTTAAATCCAGACAAGCTTGTAGCGGATCGAATTAAATTTGAATAAGTGGCTTCAGACAGGTCTGAAGAGCTGAGAAGAAATATAAACAGTCATTTATCGTAACAATCCTGAGGTCCATTCCTCTTTAGCTCTCTGGGGGAGGTCGAGCACAGGTGCGGGGGTGAAAACTCCCCCCTCTTGACTGATTGTTTATTTTGCCATTCCCGGTTTCACAGTTTGTTTTGCAGAGGAATTTGCAGTTGCAACGGAGTCAGACTAAAAACTCAACGGGTCATCAATTTGGGTGTAAAAGTTCCAAAGATGGTTTTGTTAGGGATTGTGGAAACGGTTGAGTGGTGAACTTAACAAATGTGTACGGTTCCCGCTGTTTTGCTCGTTACCGCTGCTAAGTGGCTTAATTTGAGAAACAACAATGCTAGACATTCCCCAGCTTAGCGCAAAAAGGAT